AAGACTACCCCTCTTCCTGAAAGCCCCGGTCCTCTTCTCTTGTGTCGAAGTGTAGTGTAGTGTGGTGAGGTTTTGCCTCACAAAAAGAGTGGGAAATTGGGAGAAAAAAATGAAGAATTTCGAATCTAAAAATAAAAAGAGATTTTTTTCCCCAACGACAAAGGAACTTACGGGCGGGGCATTTTCGGGGACTAGCCCGCTTTCCATTACTCAATAGGGCAATTCCTCGCACATAATTAAGGGAGCCATTGAAAGGTGACTAAAGCACCAGAAATGGGGACTACCCACTTGAACCCTTCTAAGTAATTAGAAGAGCGCGGAATTGGACCTCCCTCAAATAGATGGATCTGGGATTGATTGTGGAACCGAGCATAGAGAACCGGGGGCGGTCAGGAAGATAGGCTAGGTGGATTAGTCGCTCTGGAGCAGGTTCTTCGATTGGATCAATGCATGTATGAACCCTAAAAAAATCCTCAAGGTCTAGTCTAGAAAAAACCCAGATTTTGCTACTATACCCGAGCCACATCCCCGGCACACTTGCTATATCTACTAACGCTTCATCCTAACCAACTATACCTGATATAAAGCCGTTCTATAAAAATTCAAGACAAGAAGAAAGCAAGAAAAGGATAGCGATCGCTTTGGGAATGTCACGGGGGAGGAAGATAGAAAGGTAACCTATGACACCGGGGAATTACGCTTTTTCTCCCGCCTCAGCTTCGCGGATGGAAGGAGGGCGAGAGCGTAGCACGCACGCTCTATGCTTTTCGCCAGCTTTCCCTCTAGTAAAAGATTAGCTCGTACCCTCTCTCTGTGTCTAGGGATTCCTGGGCATGAGTTAAGCATATAGTTAACAAATTGTCTATTCTGGTGGTTTTAGAGGTAGGCTTGAACGTCTACCTCTCAAATAAAAATCTGAAATAAAAAAGTTTAGACTCCCGTCAAGAATATTGCGTTGAAAGGCATGACGTGGATCGCCAACAAGTCTTAGTTTGTCCTCCAGAAAGTGATAAGCTTCTTTCCTAATGTTCGAATAAGGAGATCTCTCTAGAATTTGAGAAATATTTTTCTCTTCAAGTAACAAATTTAGGAGTTTATCCTGTAAAAGGCCTTTTTTCTAATACTTAAAGGTCAAAGTACTCCATATCATAAATAGTTCAAAAGTGGTTAACATTGATCACAGCTCGTACCCTCTCATAGTCCCCGGGATTGTTCTGGAGTGGGAGATTGTAGTAATCTTGGTTCTCCAAGAATCTTATTCGCTGATAGATTTCAGCCTCATTCTCCGCCGCTATAACGTTCCTAAAGGTGTTTAGCGATTTCGAACTTGACTCGAATTCTAGTTCAAAAAATGCACAGTGGAAAGGGATGCTAGTCGGCTCGGCGAAGTTGTAGCCCAAAAAAAGAAGATCCAGAGTGATTCCTCACCTATCCTGTCAGGGGCCCAGTGGAACGCTCGAGTATAGATTCCCTATGCTCATGTAAACGGCCGGGGCCGGCCGGCCCGTAGATCTAAAAGGATCCAGCCATAGGCCTGACCGGATATCGTTTGNTTATGCTCATGTAAACGGCTGGGGCCAGCCGGCCCGTAGATCTAAAAGGATCCAGTCATAGGCCTGATCGGATATAGGAGCTATTCATAGGGTCGATTCCTGGTTCACCACTCATTCCCGAGCCCGAGAAAGCACCTCATTTTAGGTTAGCTGTACTTACTTGTCGTGTACCAACACGTTTTCGTAGGCGCCAACTCCAAGTTCCTTCTCTTCTTTCTTTTTTCAAGTCACGATCAGAATGATGACATTCTTTTTTGCTTTAGAAAGGAGAAGGGAAAAGGCCAATTTGCACCACCATCCTTCCCCAAAGATTCGGTTAGTGTGCATAGACTTCTACTTTCCTTAGGCGACTTTCTTGCCTTACGAAAAGAAGTTCATTTCATTTTCCCGGGNTTGAATCTCTCTTTGATTAATCAATGTGTGATATTCCGAATCCTCATTACTAATGGAATCCAAATGATCTCTGGATTGATCAGAAGATCCTTTCAGTTGGATAGAATCCGTTACTTGAATGAAACTAGATCTTGTGGAATCATATTGAATATTTGATGATATATTGCTAAAAACCGATCCTTGTTTACCAACCACACATTGTCTAACCAAATCCAATTCTCTCTCGATACGTTCCTCAAAAAATCCGGTTCGGGCGGATTCTTCCCCCAACTAACGAAGAGATCTTGGTGGAATTGCCACATATGAAATTGAGTACAGTTTTCCAAAGAAATAGCCCACTTATTTCTCAAGAAGAAATGGGAAAGATGCTCAATATCATTTGATTTAATAGTTGACCCAGCCCCTTGTTGTTTGAAGAAACCCTCCACTTCAATTGGTATTTTTTTCACGAAAAGCAGGCTTAGGCTCTGACCGCGTGCCTGTTGAAGAATGAGTCGGCGACTCATAGGCAGTGGCTTGGTTAAGGGAACCCACCGAAAGAGAAGACGTCCCTCAAAGCCCCATTAACGCAAAACAAGTCGATTCCTACGTTTTAAATTACCAGAAGCTCTTAGCTACTCAACTATACTATAGGCTCTAAAGGCATTACTTGACTGAAAGAGTGCTTATATTATGGGGGCTTTCCTTTCCAACATCTGACTTATATACAGGTCAACATCGACTTAAGAAGCACGAAAAAAAAAGTAGCTACCTCGGGAAGACGCTACCGATCCCTGAATCGAGGGACTACGCGCTTTCAATCCCTTACAGCTGCCTTCCAAGCCCTTCCACTGCCCGAACTACCTGCCGTTCAATCTCTAAGGCGGGTTTCTGCTGAGAACGGAATATTGTTCGTGTCCAAAGGTGAACAAAGCCCTAGCTTCTAGAGTTCGCTGCTTTTCCCAGGCCGGAGAAGGGCTTATACTGCTCGCCTTTATTTTTTCTATTTTTCGCTTAGATGTGCTCGGCAGATGCTAAAGCCAGAGCGTGATGGCAAGAATTGATCAAGCGAAGAATCACAGTTCTCAGCTATCACATTCCGAAAGACTACTGGACTAATTTCACTCAATTAAATAAACTATACCCTTACAAAACTTATTAGTACTCCTACACAGTTGTTCAATTTTAATGTCATTCTTAACTCTATCCCTGACTGGGTCCCTGTAGTTCTTTAATTTAGGAGTTTCTGATTTTAGGATACCAGCTTCGTGGGACCGTAGTCCAACTCAAGGCTAAGCTTTACGGTCCTGCCGCTTTCTCGATCAACTAACCGCACTCTTAAAGACAAGGAAAGGGACTGATTCACAAAGGAGTCCGGCAGAAAGAGTCTCCGTCCTGAACACAGAAGGAAGGCGGGTTTGTCAATGCTTGAACTGATTGATCTAAGTGAGCTACGAGGTTAGTCTTCTAGGATCAACTTGCTTCAAAGTGCCCATTAATGATTTGTTAATTTCAGGAAGATATTAGTGATCCCTATTAGTGACTATAAAGGCAAGTCCTAGTTAATGACCTGAAAGAAGCAATAGTTAGGAGAGGTGCGCCAGCGGCGAGCAGAAGCAAGCTCTCCTCTCTCCCCCTTTTTTAGCTAACTCGCTCCTGAACTCTGCGGCGAGTTCAGCCACCACCTCCGGGTCTGAGCTCTGCTCGAGCGTAGTCAGCCAGCTTTGCTTGGAAGATTATTCTTTCCTCCTCGGTAAAAGAGGGCAAAAAAAGGTGTGTGGGAGAAAGAATTCTAAAAGGAGACTTTTTTGTTCCTATTAACAAAGCATCCCCTTTTTCTTCGCTCTTCCGGAACCGGTACAGAAATAGGTGCTTTTTCTACGTTGTTTACCTTAGTTACTGGGGGGTTTAGGGGAAAACAGGCGGGTTGACATTCAATTAGAATAACCGCTGTTGTCTCTTTCCTGCTCTCCTCTGCTACAGAATCTTTCTTCAAGATACGAAACGAGCAGGCGAAAACGGCTATCCCTATTGTATTTTAGATGGAGTCATCTACAGGGTGTTTGCTCTTGGATTGGACTAAGCGGGAATCCTTACTGTGGAAGCAGACCTTGTCATTCTTCTCCTTCAATGCCAGTGGATAAGTACACTAGGGCTGGAAGCTCAGTAGCAAGGCCGTCTCATAGTCACCACTTGTCTGTCGTTTCAAGCTTCCAAAACAAGCAGAAAAACACGTTGTCGGTTCAGCAGCTCGAATTATCTCAGCAATAGTGTCCCTACCCATGATGAACTAAAATTTTTGGGGCCTCCAAATTTGATATAATCAACCTTTCGAGCAGCTCTTTCAACTGCCGCCTAATCCCCCAACATGCTCAAGAACCGAGAGCCGTCCAGGGACTGGACGGTGGCTTGCTCTGACCAAGACTCCACTTTTTGCTCTGTCCGCGGAGCGTATGAATTTCCTGAAATATAGATAGACCAAAAGAGTACTGAGTTTAGCGTCGACAAGGCAAGTAGTGGATCTTTATTATCGAATGATATGGGAGACAGTCAAAGCATCAGTCTCAGCATCGACCGCCCGTAGGGGGTTTACTGCACAAGGCCCCTACAAAGGAAAGGCTTTATCCCAGCGAACAGAAGTAGGCAGAATTGGCATAATTATTACTGTGAGGATTGAGCTGCCAAAAGAGATTATCCTCCTTTGGGCTGGAAGAGAAGATTTATGCAGTCCATAAAAAAATAAAAATAATATTTAAATAGGCAAGGAAATGGCTCATTCATAAAGCAAGGGATGAGCGCTAGCGCTAAAGCCGTTGTTGTCTTCCTGAATTTCATAGCGGAAGGTTGACTTTTGGGTATTCAACTTTGTGTTGCAGCTCAGTGAGACGACCCTGACATAGAAGGTTTAAGCTCAGCCTCAGGGCGGCAGTCTCTCTATCAGGCCCCGCTGCTTCAGTCTCTTTCTCTTTATCCGCATTCCCATACGGATTAACAAGCCTTTCTGTACTCTCTTCCTAGCATTAGAAAAGCAAAGATTCGATACCTCTTTTATTATTAATTAATAATAGGCATTCTCTGATCGGCCTAATCTCGTAATACATGGCTATGTCCCTGACCTGAGACTAATGCAATCAGTTCCTTCCTCCGCCTTCTCTTTCGACGTTCGCCAATCGGAGAGGACAACCGATTGAGTCTGAACCTTAATTTAAAGATGGAAGGAAGACCCGGATGGATGCAGTGGAGGCAGTCCTTCCAGAACCGGATCTTCCAGAACCGGATATGGATTGTATGAGGGGTGTCATCAAGCGGAGGTTACTTGTGCACCACTTGGGTCAGAAGAATTTCTCGGTTTCCGATCATGAAATAGACCAAATTATAAATCTGAAGAACGACATGTTTTTTTTAGCACGCGTGCCTCCGTCCCAAAAAAGATGTATATTCCGAACATTTTGTCGTGGGTGCTACTAGAAAAATTGTTATCCGACCGATGGATTCCCCGATTTTTGGATTTTCATTTCTTTATGTAAAAAAGAGTTGGATCAAAGGCCTCGTCTCTGTACCCTTCCGTAGAGGAGGGGCTTATGCAATTTGGGATCCTCATTTTGGTCAACCGGCCATGGAAGCTTTTACTCGAGGGGGTGCTCTTGGCCCAGTGAATATCGCTTATTCTGGTATTTATTAGTGGTGGTATACAATCGGTTTACGCACTAATGAAGATCTTTATACTGGCGCTCTTTTTCTATTATTTCTTTCTGCCATATCCTTAATAGCAGTTTGGTTACACCTACAACCGAAATGGAAACCGAGCATTTCCTGGTTCAAAAATATCGAATCTTGTCTGAATCATCATTTGTCAGGACTCTTTGGCATAAGTTCCTTGGCTTGGACAGGGCATTTAGTTCATGTTGCTATTCCTGCATCCAGAGGGGAGTACGTTCGGTGGAATAATTTCTTAGATGTATTACCGCATCCCCAAGGGTTAGGCCCACTTTTTACAGGTCAATGGAATCTTTATGCTCAAAACCCCGATTCAAGTAGTCATTTATTTGGTACCGCCCAAGGGGCGGGAACTGCCATTCTAACTCTTCTCGGGGGATTCCATCCACAAACGCAAAGTTTATGGCTGACTGATATTGCCCATCACCATTTAGCTATTGCATTTATTTTTCTCGTTGCTGGTCATATGTATAGAACCAATTTCGGGATTGGGCACAGTATGAAAGACCTTTTAGATGCACATATTCCCCCGGGGGGACGATTGGGGCGTGGACATAAGGGTCTTTATGANTTGGTCATATGTATAGAACCAATTTTGGAATTGGGCACAGTATGAAAGATCTTTTAAATGCACATATTCCCCCGGGGGAGGATTGGGGCGTGGACATAAGCATCATCTACTACCCGTCATCTTCCATTATCCTAGTTTTAATTCTGGAACCCTAACCCATTAAATGGCACTATAAATAGGGTTTTAAATACTCTCACTTAACATACCTAAGAGACTGAGCAACGGCGCATGCAAGAACTCGGTTGGGCTCTGAAATATCCAACCTCACAAGTCTGTTAGCCAAGGACTGAATGTCCAAAGCTAGTAGCCTCTCCTCTGCTGAAATGAATGTCAAACTACCCATACTCTCCGCCTTTCTGCTCAAGGCATCCGCAACTATATTCGCCTTACCCGGATGATAAAGGATGGTAATGTCATAATCCTTTAGTAACTCAAGCCACATGCGCTGCCTCAAATTGAGATCCATATATATTATTTGTTTGTTACTGATATTATTTTTTCCATTTATATTATGTCGCCACCGTCTAGTTTTCATTAGAAGAATGTTAGAGTATTTAAGAGTTTGTTAGGGTCTATGGGAAAAAGTTTCATTTGGAAAGGTAAAACATTCTCTGACAACTCAAACTCGAAACTATTTACCGCGTACAAGGCCACAACCTTTTGTGATCTAAGACCTCCTCATTCTGCTTGTCCATCTTCTTACCCTTTTCTGTAAAACCCTACCAAGAAAAATGTTTGAAATTGAATGATATTTACTTCTACTGTTTTGTCTCTATGTACCCAAATTTCCTACGTTAGATATGTTTGAGTAAGTCTAGTTTGTCTTTATGTACCCAATTTCTGCTATTGATCAGTTGCATACTTGCATTGTCACATGCACCTGTCAATTTCAAAAAAACAAAACAAATATTGTATAATTTCAATTACTCATTTTTGGACGATGGCAACGTAAATTAACTAAAATCATGTAACCATTATTGTATATACTAAGAATACCATACGAGCAAAATTAGGCACATATAAATTCGTCTTGTTAATTAATCTCCTATCAATAGAACGACAATTTAATTTCAACGAGGCAGTTGTTAATTATAACACTCATGCTCTATCCATCAACTATATGTATTTTCTCGAAAGGCAAAGTGTTTTCCACCAAAAAAATCCTTTTTCTTAAGATTTAAATCCGAAATTACTGATCACGGAGAAATCACAAACTATTTCACCACATTTTTTCGTGGTCCCGATTTCTTATTCAAACAACCTTAACACTTTGCTTGCCAGCGTGTTATCAGAATCAATCAATGCACTATTAGTCTAGTTGTAACAGACTAGTTCATTAGTGATATTGTCCGCTTTGAGCCTAGGCTCGCACGGCTTTACTTAAAACGCGTCGCTAGAGCCTAAGGTCTGTCTACTTATATACCCAACATCTCTCCCGTGTTTTGTCGATGTGGAATTCGCCTAAGGTATCACACTAGTACTCAATCAAACATTGTTATAACACGAAGAAAATAGATGAAAAAAAAATCAAAAAATCAATTTGAAATAGAAGAATAGTACAATTCTAGGGTTAAATGGATTTTAATTAATATACAAGAAGGATTATCACGGGATGTGGTATTGAACAAGATTTGAATATTTTGGGAGACATTTTATCGACAAAATATAACACGCTTGAATACATGAATTGTCACGACCCCAATTTCCCTCCGTAGGATGTCGTGATGGCACTTAATCTCTAAGACTACGTAAGCCTACTTCTTTGGTAGCTCAACACATGTACTCTTTACCTGCTTATGCATTCATAGCACAAGACTTTACTACTCAAGCTGCATTATATACCCACCACCAATATATCGCAGGATTCATCATGACAGGAGCTTTTGCTCATGGAGCTATATTTTTCATTAGAGATTACAATCCGGAGCAAAATGAAGATAATGTATTGGCAAGAATGTTAGAGCATAAAGAAGCTATCATATCTCATTTAAGTTGGGCCAGCCTCTTTCTGGGATTCCATACCCTGGGACTTTATGTTCATAATGATGTCATGCTTGCCTTTGGCACTCCGGAGAAGCAAATCTTGATTGAACCTATATTTGCTCAATGGATACAATCCGCTCATGGTAAAACTTCATATGGGTTCGATGTACTTTTATCTTCAACGAGTGGTCCAGCATTCAATGCGGGTCGAAGCATCNTTGGGATTCCATACCCTGGGACTTTATGTTCGTTGTGTGTGCTTTCAAGCAATAAGATTGCTTGCTAAACGAACCACTGCTGATGAAGTGCCCCATACCCGCACTAAGGGGTAACCTGAGATAATGTATGGAAGCAGTCTGATTATTTTCACTTGAGTCGAAATGATGAGGAACATCGTAATAATGAAATTAACAAATTGGCTAGTAGATTAGTAGCAACACTGTGTATCACTGTCAGTGGCTATACCCTTATTCAACTCAGCCAAATCTGAGCCAATCTCAGTCCAACTTCAACCTGTCTCAACCATAATGATTTGAAGAAATGTTTATTTTTGTGAAAGTTTAAGTCTGTTAGTATCAGAACTTATTTGTAGGTTATTTTGTGGAAGATTTGATCTGAAATATTCAGAACTTAGTTAATGTTGTTTCGGTTTGGTTTTAGACACAGTAGTAAACTGGTTTCTGCTAGTGTGCAGATTTGATGGCCTACTATTGACAATCAAAATGGTTGTTTTGAACTTGTTTAATTGTTCAGATGTTAATGCCCAGCATAACTTTTCATTGCAGCAAAATACTTCATACACTTGACATTGTTAGTGTTTGTTAAGAATAAACATACAATACAAAGATCCTAAGCTAAGAATAATACTACAAAGAGCAGTGCAGCAACAACAAACATAATTACATATTGTTTTTCCCTATTCCTTCGCTGCTCATTGACGCTAATTCTTGATAGCAGTCCCGAAATTACTTGTTTGTAATGATCTGGAAGAGGTGGGTCA